TGTGATGGAATTATTGTTTGAGTTTAGTTTCTTGAGTTTCTCTGTATTCAGTGTCTTCTTCTGTTTCAGTGTTCTTCACTCCTCCACAGACTTTCCCCTATTTATGATACACCCCTGTTTGCAATCAGCAATCACTTCTAGAGTGTATAGACTCCTCTGTTGTTGGTTTATGCTCCTGTTCTGTTCTCTTTGTTAACATCATATTAGGTTTTGTCATTCAGGCTCTCTGTTTGTTCAATAAGTTGTTTTTTTTCCTAAAATTTCCTCTTTGACTTTGCATTTTAGATTCATGTCTCACAGTTTGATACAATCTCATAGTTTCCTATAGCACACTGATGTGCAAAAAGCTACAGGAACAACTTTGTGGTCATAAGAAGACATCGAAAGAAGATGAAAGACCACAAAACCTACTTATCCCTTTCTGCTGCAGACTTCCACTTAGGGAAACATTCAGCCATGTCTCCGTACCTCTTCAGTTTCCATTTTACCACTCCTGTCTGACCATGAACTCACTGTGTCATCACCACGTTTCGATGTATGCAGCTCTCAGGAGCTGCTGGCTATACGCCTCTTATTTTGTGCCATTAGGCTCCGTCTTAAAGTGCTTGAACAAGGAATAGATAGAAACAGTGAGGGAGTTGTTTTATCTGCCTTATTTAAAAAAAAAAAAACATCTAGTGAAACAAGCTTCAGAGCTGAAAACATTAAAAATTAAAAATAAGGACCTTTAATTTGATGATCTAACATTTTAGAACTAATGACGGTTGACTTGGTAAATTGCAAAACTTCAAATTAAAATAGCCAGTGCATCTATAATGTCTTTTTTGCATATATATATATATAGATATATATATATATCTATATATATATATATCTATATATATCTATATATATATCTATATATCTATATATATATATATATATATATATAGTTACCCAAGTTTGCAGCACTTTCTAAAAGCACACCATTCACGCAACAACCCCCCCCCCCCCCTTTATTTATCTTAAATGGCTGCAAATTGTACGGATCATTTAGTTTTACTATGTCGTTGATAACATAGCAACCATCTGTTTAGTTTGTCCGTGTCTTTTCTGTGCAGATCTGAAAGTGCTGCTGCGTGTAGTGGACTGTACTTATTCCATACTGTTCGTGTGCAGTTTGTTCATGTATGTAACACTTTTCATCCTTAGTATGTAATGTTGAGGTGTAGTAGCTTTCCTTTAGGCACGTTTTCCACGTATCACAGTGGGACCATCTAGTGGCTGGGTTGTATATAGTGGCAGGAGGCTGCTGCCATGTCATGGTTGGGGGATGTGGTAAAACGACCACACTGATACAAACATGTTGTTCAGAAATGTTTCACAGAGAGTACAATGTTGCCCTTCATCAGGCAGCACAATGAAGGATCAGTTATCTGCCTTTGGTTGTTTGAATCGCTCCATTTATTGTAGAGCATGTTTGATTCATGGAGAACTGGAAATTCTTCTGAACGGTGCAAAAACCAGACCAAAGTTTCAAAGTTGTAAGAGAAAGAAGCAGCTTTGTGTCCAATTATTTAAAAACTAGTGTCAGCACTCAGTTTACACCAAATTATTATTATTATTATTATTATTATTATTATTATTATTATTACTGTTGCTGTTGTAAAGTTTTACACTTATTTCTGTATATGTGCTTAACTTTGGTCAATGCTTGATTTGAAATGCACATTTAAAAAGAAATAGACTTGAAAATAAAATATAATGGAAAAAACAAAGAATACTGATAACTCAAGGTGTAATAAAATTAGCATCCATTGAATATTTATTCTAGTCTAAATGTCAATAAAAGAAAGTAATTATAATTTTCAAAATAAAATATCACTTGCCAAACAGCTTTATGCATTTATTTCTGGCAATAGTTCTGGAACCTTCTAATGTTCTTCTCTTCTTATAAGTGAGATAAATCTAGGTTAAATCTTTAGATTTTATTTACAATACTAGAGAAAAAAAATGAAATATATATATATATATAAACAACTAATTTAATAATGAATATCAAAAATGATGATGAATAAATTTTAATTGTAATTATATTTTTTCTTTTTCAAATTTGTTTTTTTGTACAATACATGCGTTCAAACTGAAGCTGAAAATAGTTTCTTGGTAAATTTAAAAAGATCGTAGCTCTTTTTTTTACAAAAATCAACAGGTATATTTTGATCTAATTTCAGAAACGTTATCTGTTTTTGTAAATTCTGTATACAACGTTGCTGCATGCATCATCTTTGAGAACCATAAGGCATAAATATTATATTCTGCAGGAAGAATGCATGTTAGTTTGTCTGTTAGTGGGATAAACATGATGGACAAATCAGCAGCAGTGATGGCTCATAGCTGAACGTTAAACTAATATTTTATGTGAATGCAAATCCAGATTTTTTTTATTCTGCCTTACAGTTCAATACATTGAGGCAAAATTCATTTGAGCTGGAACAAACTTTGAACTAATGCGTTCAGTAATTATCAACGTGCATCATTTTGTTCTTAAATGATGAAATGAAGCGCACACATTTATGAACTCATAGAAACTCCACAAATGTTGTCATTTAACAATTTATTGACATTAACTTTTTTCCACCATGGTTTTGCTTGATACCAACAGTATTTACCATCAAGTATCTTTTTGTTATTTAAATTACATTTATGTTTACTTACATACACATGTATTAGATCCTTTTCTTATTGCAATAAACAAGAGTAGCCAGAATGAGTCAGGTATTGCTACAATTTGCCATACAAACTCTTTACCCCTCTGACAATGAAGTTCAAAAATAACTTTGTTGGCAAGACATAATCACACCGTCTCTCTCTGCTCTGAGAGAGACTGAGGGCAGAATAAGGCTAAGGCTGTAGGAGCCTAAATATAGCTAACATAAAGACCTGAAAATCGAATATTGACTTCCTCAATGTGAACAATGAGGGCGAATCTGTGGCTATCACCACTTTTGAACTAATCTGGTGCCATTTGACTGGCTGACCTTACAGATGTTTTGATGAAGCTGAGTAATTAATCAACTCTTTTGATAAAATCCTTGATTATTGATCCATCCCTTCTAAACCCAACAGTGTTAGGGCACTTTTTTCTGGATCCAGGATGCCTCTTGTCTCTAGCTGTTAATGGGGTGGGGGAGTTAGAGCGCAAGTCCCAGGACACATTAGAATGAGACACACCAAAAAGAAGGCAAGCACTAATTCTGGAAAGAGTAGCTTACTTGCTAAATGAACTCAGAAGATCACTGACCACAACAGCGACAACAAGAACAAAAAAAGAGCACGATGGTGGAAGCAGACACTGAGTCAGCTTCTTATTTAGGTGACGGTATTGATAATGATCCCCTGTTTTTTTTTTTACTTAAACACATTTCTTTACAGACAGAAAAAAATTCAACTCAGATATTCTAAATAAAATGAAAAAAAAACCCATCATCATCTGGTTATAACCCCCTCGATATCTGGTGTTGTACCCTGTTCTCCAAGCAGAGAATCCTTTAATAAGAAGGCCCTTTAATATGAAGGGTCGGTCCCTGTGCTGAACTGTTCCTCTACTCAGTATCCTACAGAGGACCTGAACTCCTCATGGAAGAAAAGAAAAGTCGGTCAGATGGCATGCTCCCAGTTTACACATGACTCCAGACAACAAGGTCACAATGAAAACAAGTCACTTGGATGAAAATTGCTCATTTTGAATTGCAATATTCAGACGAAGGTAAGACATTAGAGCTCATTGCTTCTCCATGAAAGGGCACAGTGTACATCGCGTTCAAAAAGGGGTGTTAGTTCCACGCTGTGTCAGCCATTACTCCCCACTGTGAATCAGTTTATAGCTTACTTTATAATAAGTGCACCCTTTCTTTGGGTCCCTTCATGAATGAGGTTATTAACATTGCCTACCTACAAAAATAGTTTTGATGTGTTTTGCTCTTTTTTTTAATTTTAATTATTTAAATGTGTGATATAAACACAAATCAACAGTCCAAACCAAAATAAGAAGAAAGTGCTCACCAGTCTTTGTAAAAGAAAACAAATCATGGTGCTTTCATGGCTTTCAGTTATAAGACAGGAAGTATGAATAGGTTGCCTCGAGCTGGGCATCGCAGCACTCCGCTCTGGGCAGCGCCCCTTAGTTTCTGGCTCGTCACTCCAGCTCAAGATCATTTATCAGAGAACGTTTGCGCTCATCTTGCTCCCTTTCAGTATTATGTTCTTGCCGTGACATGCTTTCTAAAACTGACTGCAAACAAACCTTTGGACATCAGCAAGGTGAAGAGGAGGAGGACTGCACAGGAATGAAAGGGGTCAACTCGGTGTTGTGAAAGCCCGTCCCTGAAAAAAAAAACCTAAATGCAAGGACGCATGCTAAAACAACGTAAAACACATCAGAGCACAGGGTCATGCTCAGTCATACCTGCTCACCTACGTGCGAATTCAGCCCGAGAACAAAAACCAAGGGGGGGAAATATCAAATATGCTCTTTCTCTGGTGCATGATACTGTAGCAGATCATTCTATCAAATGAACTCTGTCTGAGTTGAACTTTAAAATCATGTATAAAGCAGCTGCACAGCATGGCGTCTGGTGTCTACCATCTTCACCCGCCACTGCTGAAATCTTTCTCTGACGGTTATGAACGTTGGCAGATGCACCCTGCAGCAGTTTTTGTTGGCTTCTATTTTAAAACACAGATTTGTTTGTTTGCATGCTGCCTGTGGTCAGTCCATCCTGTGCCAGCCCTCCTCTCATCTCACCTTCACAGGAACTAGTTGGGAGCGCAATCCCCACTGATCAGTCTCTTTCTGTGCTCGGATATGTTCAGGAGTGGGTACCACCTGCCCGTCAGCCAAAGCCATGTTGCATCTAGCTAGGGCCTAGTGCCATGAACTGAAGAGCTGCTGACTGCAGAGCAAGACGTGTACAGTACTTTGGAGGCAGCCACGGCTACAAGTGGTGCACACAGCAAAGACCAATGGAAGCAGCTACCCTACAGACATAACTTTGTTGTCTTGTTTTTGTATTTTATTAAATTTTTTTAGGTGCATAGGATGAGAACACGTTGAGCCGTGACAACAGGGGAACCCCTCCCCCATAATAATAATGTAACATGGTTTAAAGTTTCTATAAAGATCTGCATGTGTTCTTTTTTTCTGTATACCGAGGTGGCCACTTTATGACCAAAGTGCAAGGGAGGAACCGGGAGAGATGAAAAATGTACAAGAGTTCAATGCATAATGAATTTCTCTTCTCCAATTCCATCTACTGATCCGTCAAGTCTTTCCAAACCGAAGGTCGAGTGAATGGAGAGTCTCAGGTAAAGGGAATCAAGGAGATAGTGCTCCATTTCGCCGTTCCTTTCCTCTGCTATTCTATCAATCCGATGTTGAAATGATTGGATTTTTTTCCCCACTCATCAGTTGCTCCTCGCTGATTTGTAGCTTCACAGTGTGCTTTTTGGAGTGGATGCTTCCTGACTGGCTGCCGTCACAAGACGATGCGTCAGTAAGGAGCGAAGAGGATTGGCCCGTGGGCAGTGCGGATTGGCCCAGGAGCAGGTCTCAGGATGGCGTGGCTGAGAGGCGGGCCTTGCAAGAGGTGGTGCGGGTGCGGGTGAGGCGCGGGAGCTGCTGCGCGCAGAGCCAGCGGGTTCGAGGACGCTGCGGCCGCCATCGCTGCTGCAACAGCCAACGGGCTGGGCAAGAGCCCTGCACCCAGAGCTTTGGTGAGGTTCTTGGAGAAGGTCAGAGAAGGCTGCAAACACAAAGTGACGCAAAAAGAAGGAGGGTGTTAACAATGATTAGTTTTAAAACATTACAAAACAGGCAAAATACATATATTTTATTTATTTATTTATTGCTCTGTTGAATACTCTTGGAGGAGGTCACAGCCTGACAAAGAATAAAGACGATTTTGGGGATTAAATAATCTTAACGGCCTCACAGACCTCATGATCGAAAGTGTTTTCAGTGGAGCTCAGGTTTGTTAACAGAATTCAGTGGAGGAACGGGAAAAGTTACCGTCAGATCAGCTCCCCTGTGCTTCTTGTGTCGGTTAAGGAGGGGGTTCGGCTTTCCTGCCATGCCGTCCCGATGTCTTCGACTTGATATGTGCTAAAAATAAGAAACACCAAAACCCAGTTTTAAATTTGCATTTGATTTTTTACTTTTCAATACAATTATTTATCATCTTTTCATTCCACCTCATGTACCACGTGATGGAAAATGACAATAAAGATACTTGACTTTTGACTAAATTAATTATATGAAGACGATCTGCATTTATTCACAATATATTGCAACCATGTGAAAAAAAAGACTTTAGTCAATTTGTTTAACGTATACTTATGCAAAAATAAACAATATTTAGAGTTGAAGGCACAGTTTCATTCTACACAGTGCGTATATGCAAATCTTAAATAAAATAAATAAATAAAAAATACACACAAACAAAGAAAAAACACATTTTGCTCAAATTGGTTGTGCTGTCCAATGTCTGTCTATTTTAATGAGAAATAAGAATACAGACACCTGTACCAGTTTACATTAATGGACATCAGAAATAACATTTATTGCTTCGTGTTATGGCCATTGTCTATAAATTTATATAGATTATTTTTAGATAAATCGAATAATAGGCACAAATTAAAATGTTATATTTGCCATTTTGTTTTGAGGCTTTTCCTCCGTATGCAGCATTTACTTTCAGGACAACAGCTCAAAAAAGGATTGATTAGGAACCACTCTTTGAAGAAACGTCAAATAGAAATAATTTGTTTTAATGACAATACATAATATATTTGTATGCGCTGATTTTTCTGAGACTCTAACTAACTCTTTTCAAGTGGACAACGTGAGATGTGAGCTTTGTTCTTCGTCGTACCTGTTTGAGTTGCATTTCTGTGTTGACCCGCACGTTGCAGATCTCACAGTGGAAGGTTCGTTCCTGAGTGTCGGGGTCCACTGGGCCCCCTCCCTGCTCTCCATTAGTCTTTAGGCCCAAACGAGGGTATGACTTGATGGGGCCCAGCCCGCTCCGTGCCTCAAGAATAGTTTTGTGTTTAGTACCTGCAGGCAGATAAACATAAAAACAAGCAAGGGAATCAGTTTATTAATGCTATCAGGCAAGATAAAAGTATTGATAAGAAAGAAGTAACACACTCAATTACCATTTAAACAGCATTTCTTTGGTCATATTGGTTTGATCAGTCTGGAGTGAAATGAAACCTGACAGTGTTTGTCTGCTGCTCAGATTGCAGCTGCAGAAACTATTAGTGGCAACTGTTGTGCACAGAAAACAATTTAAGTAATCGAATGCATCCTTCAGTAAATAACCACAAATGTGAAACAGAAACAGAAATGTTCTGCATGAAGCTGTAGATCTACATTTGTACCACGAGAGGGCAGTAGTGAAACACTGTTGGTGATGTGCAAGACGAACCCATGAAATCTTCTGATGATGCTGTCAAAGCAATTCATTATGTTTTGATTAAATAAGCTCACAGTCTGTGCACTGCAGGTAATGACGTCATCCACATATAAAATAAATGGCAGTACCACATCAGAAAATACTCATATCCTTCAAACGATGTTTAAAGGAACTTTTTTCTGAAATTTGATGCCCACTCTGCTAAACTCTCAGTTGACTATGAAAAAAATGACAAAAAAAAATTTTTTGACCCTAAATTCTCTCAAATGGGTCATATAAATCTCCATCGTGCTATTGCATGAGTAAAAAAAATGACTGCACAGAACAACAGGTGTTTACACAGTATATATTAATTAAAAAAATAAATTCCAGGAAAGATTTTCAATTTATAATCACACATTTTGCTTTTGTTTTGTAAAGCCCCCCTTAAACTCTTACTGCTTTGTCTGTCCACATATAAAATCCACCCATTATCACTAATTCTGATTTTGAGAGACAAATTTGAGCTTCTCACTGAAATCTCTTTGAACACAACGTAGTTTACATAAGAAGAATAAATCACAATCGAGGGGAGATTGAAGAAGAATAATGAGGCATCATAAAGGAGAAAAGGACTGACCTGACGTCTAAGATGTGCCTATTGTTTTATGTTTTGATTGTTTATGACGACTCTGCATAAGTTAGACTCACTTGTGTGAGCAGCATATTGTTGAAGATAAATCAGGAAATGAGCTCACAGAAAACAAAATCTTAAAATAACATTCTTTCTACATTTACTCTTTTGGTGTGTTTTTGGCAGTACATTTTTTTTGCCACGCACGCTTGTTCAGGCCTTAGTGTCTGCATGACATATGCTCATATTTTTAAACCCTGCAAACAGTTTTGATTTTGAGAGCGAGTGAGGGTGATTGTTTCCAGATTGTCTTCAGTTTCAACTGTTTGAACTTTTAGTTTTCCTGGCCTTGAACTCTGGAGACAAGCAACTCTGTCTGTGACCCAAGACCATGCAGAGAAGTGAATCTGTGCGTGTTTGTCTGTACAGAAAAATGCACAAACACAAAAAGTTAATTCTTGTTGACAGTGATCAAACTGTTTACTCAACATTAGGACACTTGTTATATGATTCATGTCTGGTTTGTCACTGGAGACAAGCAGGATATGTTCACACACACTGAATCAATCATCGTATGCTGCCACCTCTATAGTTTTATGGCTCGCTCATGTTCAGAGAAGAATGCAAACAGTTTACTGGACTCAAATGCTTTATGCTTTCCACATAACAGCCATTTTTTTTTTAAATTTACATTCTTGTTTACATTCCCAAAGCAGCAACTTAAACTCGTAAAAGATCTGCTGCAACATGTGACAACTCAAATTGTGAGTTTGCGGGTTAGGGAGAATATTAAATAATTGTGGAACCTTTGTGAGAAGAAATCTTAAGCATATGAATTATCAATGTTTAAGGTGGCATTCATAAAAGTTAAGAAGCTTTGACATGACTGTTCAAACCAAGACAGCAGCGCTTGGTTACAGATGTCAGGAGTGTTGGCAAACGGCTCAGTCATTTTGCTGATCAGTGTTTCTTTCACTGCCCTCTGGTGTCACACGAGACCCGTTTTGATTTGTAAGAGAGCAAATGTCTTCATGGGCTGGCATCATTCTGAAACGTGTTTGAACTAAAAAAATAAAATAAAATCAAACTTTTAGAAGTGTGCATGTGTATTTCTTGGACAGACTCCTACAAACACAGAATGCGACACAGATTTCACATATCCAGCAGAAACCGCGACGACTGAGAAAATAGAAAGATTTCCAACCCGAGATGAAAACATGTGGGAGAAACCTCCAGAAACGTTATTCACACAAGATCCGAAGAGGATGACCTCATAGGCAAACCCAAGTGGTTTGAGTTTATTTCTGGAAAGTGTGTCTCACAGAGGACCCACCTTTGTTGTGGGCCTCTAGCTGTGACAGGGAGTTAACAGCCACCTTGCACAGGGAGCAGTACAGCAGCTTCTTTGCCTTGTCCTCCTCCATTTCTGGGTGGGACGGGCTGCTGGAGGCCGAGGCGCCGGCGTCCCCTGAAAGCTGCGGTCCAGATCCGGGCTGCTCTGAGCCGGTGGTGCTGCCACAACCTGGGGAGGAGGAGGTCAAGGGGACCAGGGGTGGAGTAGGAAGGAGAGGGCACGCTGAGGGGACGGAAGAGTCCATGGGTGGGGTGGGTGATGTTGGTAGTGAGGGAAGTGACCCCGGAGCTAACAGGGGCTCGTTTAACTGCGACAGAGGCTGAGTTTCATCTGGAAAAAAACATACCAGAAGGAAGAATAGAAATTCATAATTAACCTGATTTTACAGATTTTACAGAGCAAACGTGCCACAAAAGAAACAATGATTTGCTTTATTATTGCTTTTTTTTGTGTGTGTTAAACAGTCACACCACATTCCCCCTGGAGATACAATTTTGTGAGCCTTAACCACATAGTTAACCACTCCCAGAACAAGGGAAACGTGTGCTGCTTCACAGATCAGACAAACCAACAAACAGAAAGAACGTTTCTTCACTATGTTGTAGGACATAAATAACGAGGAGGAAAATAAAAAAAATCCTAATCTAAGCTGTACAAACTGGTTCAGGGAGGGAAAATGTACGGTCGCCGCGGGTAAAGCATGTGGTTAATCTGTTTGAAGGCTTCATCTTTTATTGATGTGGTCTCATCGAATTAAAACGTCTCCAAGAGAGGGGAAATGGAGAACAGACACCACAGAGTGTTGTGACTCCTGCCAAAAGCACCTGTTGTTTTTGGCTGTGGGTGAAACCAGTAATGGCACTGGCTTTATCGTGATTCAACTCATAAGGTCCAAAAAATATCATTACGTTAACTTTCTTCTCACTTTTTTTGTTGTTACACACTCGCAAGTTCCTCTTCATGCCATTTACTTGATGAGTTTTCATCCCATACCATGTCTACACATAAGTTTCTAGACATGTGTTTCTGATCAGCCACTCCCATACTAGACAGTCGGTATTCATTAAATAGTGAGGGCTGAAAAAGTTCACCCTAAATTTGGGTGGGGTATTCAGACTCCCCATTAGCAGGGACCAGGAGATCTTTATCCAATCTCCACAGGATGCAGCGCCTGAGGCAGGCAGCAGAAAGCCTCACTGGATTATAGTATTTAAAAAATGCCATGTGGTATTTCTGGAAAGTAAACAAAGATTGATTTGAGCGGCCTAGTTTCATTGAGCAGATTGACATACTTTTTTTTTTTTCATATTACCTGACTGCCAAAAGGATACAGTATTTATTTTTATTTCACGCTAAGGTTGTTCTGACATTTTTGGATTGGTAACTTTCTTACGTCATTGCTGGTGGATGCCATTGTAAATGTTTTCCATTCCACGGTCTTCCCAAAAATAAATTTTGTATTTTTTTCTTGCGTTTTAGTAGCTTCCAGCTGCAGAGCTGTTGGTTTCAGCGCATTTGTCGAACAGATGTGTAGATAAAAGAAGCAAAAAGGATTTTTTTCTTCTTCTGATTTTATGTGGCATAGAGAAATCTATTAGGTGATCCATGATCAAAGCACAGTTTAAAGGGCTTGTACATTTCTTGGTGACTTCATTACTATGGAGACAAACCAATTTATTTTTATATAACATGCCCTATTGGTTAAAATAAACGGGCAAAAATAAAGATGGTTTGTCAAATAATATTAAGGATATCCATGGTGGCCATAGGTATCAGACAGGATTTGTTTGTATTCCTCATGAAATGGGTTTAGCGTGAACATATTTTAGTCAGCTTCACTTAGTAAAATAAACCATTTGAAAGAGGCTGTAAACTCTAACGTTGTCACAAACAAAGAGTTATGGTTTTCTTGCTTAAGAAACTTTCAGTCAGACCAGACTCTCCCAAAACTCTAGATATTCTGTAAGTCAAATTAATCATTTACAAAGCAGCTAAGTGACCTTCCTCCCTCTTGGCCAAACATAAGAAGTTATTATTAATGGGGAGAGGTCACAAGAGGGGATAACTCAATCCAGATGCTTTACACTTAGTCTGGTGAGTCTGCATGGCCTTAATCCACTTCAGGAAATTAGAGCTGCAGAATGTATAGCATGCACTCCTCTGCAAAGGTTTTGTTGACTAAACCAGCTGATTTACCCCAAACTCTAATGCTGCAGCAGCTTGTTTGCTGCAGTACTCGTTCTTATTTTTTTAATGTGACAGTTTCTGTGAAAGCTTTGTAAAACGGGGGGAAACGTGGAAAACAATATATCACTCGCTGCCCATGTATGAAAATGTTCCTCATTAAGCACAGATTGTAAATGATCTAATAGAAGCAAACAGAAGTAGGCATTTTTTTTGGGGGTTGTAATCGTTAAAAAGTTAAAAAACATTGTTATTATAATTATAAAACTTGAGCGAGGGAAGGCCGTTGAGCAGTGAGGCATGTATTTATTTTAGATTTCAGATTTTGTAAGTGATACAGATTAAATCAAAATTCATTCATCACATCACTTTCAGGAGGAAAAATTAAAAAAAATTAGCACAAAGCTATAATTAGCCTGTGTGCGTTTCTGCCACCAGTGACTTATGATGGCTATTCTTAATAATTTAACAGCAACGAAACCCAATGTTGATCCCACATTCATTATGCATCTGGGTGCGTTTTCTCAAAGCGGTCTGTTTTCAAACCCTTGGTCATGCTTACACACACCTATGTCATGCTGCTCATGTTTAATGTGTTAATCAGGTCTTGTTGTTTCAGGTTTGTTGAACAAACCACAACAAAAAAAGGGTAAATTAAAAAAAAAGATTAAACCCAGAGACTAATAATAAATCCAGCATGAAAGACCGTCAGCTCTGTGTAACTCTATACTGCCAGCTCCCAGACATGCAACCTGAGCCATCACATGGAAGACATCTGTTTAATTGACCTTGGGTGGGTGCAGGCTGGTGAGTGTTTGCATGAACTACAAAGTGCACTAATATCAGAGTGGTTTTAACACTGCCCTTCATTAAAGTGGGAGTATCAGACAGTAGTAGAAATTTTTTCAAAGGAATGAGGGAAGTAAGAGCAGAGTTCCTCTCCAATGTAACATCTGCCTAAAGCCAAACCAGCCAAACCCTCATCTTCACCAGTCCAAATCCCTCACAGCCAAGGACCTCCTTTTTTGGGGACAACAACAACCGCAAACCCTTGAAGGGCTGTAAAACTCACGATTCACTCTGAGAGCTGTGAGCTGTTCTCCAACTGTATAGCCAGAGACGCAATAGGATTCATGCCATGTCTTTTCACAGTTCCAGCCCTTAGCAACGCCTCTACACAGCATGTTTGTCGTTATCACTTCTGATTGGATGCTTTGATGTGTTAATAAAAAAGGATATTCGGTTCATAAAAAGAAGGTCATAACACGCGTGGTGGTCGGGGTTGCCATTAGATTTGTGTTAGTATGTCCCAGAAAACCTCAGCTTTGGGAGAAAAAAAACACTCAACATCAACAACTAATGCTGCTGCACAGAGTTTTAATTCCTGTGTGGAAAAGTCACGGCTCCATCTGTGGGACTGACTGAACTGTTTGTTGATGTTTTATACAAATTATGTGAACAACGCAACGCGACTATGTTGTTATCATTGTCCCACCAATGAGTCGACGACCAAAATACACACACGCACACACACCCCTACACACACACACACACACACAAGTGAGTATGCTTGCTACAAAATCAGGAAGAGGCAAGGTTCCAGGGTCACGAGAATGAGTCTTGGATGGAAAAAGGCATTCTTTCACGTGTTTCTACTTTCAGATCTAAATTGTGGCAGACTGGCTTTGGTCCCTTGCACACTCGATTATTGTCTCAGGGACTTTCAGCAATGGGGTTTGGTTTAGGATTGAAGCCATGGTGGTCCCCCGTGAGGGAAAAGACAAAAAAGTACAGGCACTTTTACTTTTCTGGGACTCCAAAAGAAAGTAGAACTAATGCTGAGACATTTGTTCATGCACAGTTGTCTTTTTAGGACCTCAGTTTCCTCTTTTTGATTGCAGTGTTTGCTCTGTGCATCAATATGGTGAAAATGTCTGCAAATACTCAGCGATACAAACCTTTGTAAATGTCACTAAAAACAATGCTGGTGTATTCATCCCTGAGTGTTTGATCCAAACACAGATCGGTGACACTGAGGGAATGGAAACTTCTTTGTTAAGAAAGGAGAAGGGCAAAATGTCCAGCCTTTTATAGCCTAAAATAATTGGATAAGTGAGACTGGAAGAGATAAAGTAAAGCTAAGACAACACGAACAAAGCTATAGATGTTCTACTTAGGAATGAGACTGCATCACTTCTCATCCCACTGAACAATAATTAACTTGCCAGCAGTGAAGCATTTTCCAATAATGTCAGATCAGCTGCTGTTGCTGTCCTTTCGTTTGTCTGCGTGTATTATAGTCCTATTTTTTCCATTTGTAATCAGTCTTAGCACTTGTTCTCCATTTTGAGACTATAATATTGTATCAATATAATCCATCCATCCAGCCATTATCTTTTTCAGGTCACAAGGGTCACAGGTACCAGCAGTCACAGCACGAGAGGTGGGAGACACCCTGGACAGGTCGCAAGTCCATCACAAGGACACATACAGACAAACGAGACAACCATTCAATCTCTCACTCACACCTAGGGACAATTTAGAGTTACCAATCAGCTTAACATGTATGTTTTTGGTCTGTGCGAGGAAAATGGAGTACCCGAGGCAAATCAATACCTGCACGGAAAGAAAATGCAAACTCCACCCTAGAAAGCCCCTGGCCAGGATTTGATCCGGCAACCTTTTCGCTGAGAGGCAACAGCTCTACAACTGAGCCACAATGCCACCCATCACTGGACTTCGGAAAGATGTTCTTAATGATACTGCATTCAAAATGTTTGATTCTAAGACTTAGTTAAATTTTGTGTTTTAACTTTGAGTTTTTATGATAGAAAATAAAATTTAAATAACTTGCCCACTTCAAAAAGGTGTTTGAATTCCTGCAGTATCTGAATAAAATCCAGTCTCATCCATCATTTGTACTATTAGATTACCCGATTTTTTAAAGTCATAGTGTCTGAAAGGTTCCACTATGAGTTGTTTAATAATTTTCTGAAATGTTTATGTTTCTGATAATATCATCTATACCTCAGCAGTTTGACCGTAGGATTGTGCTGCTGCAGCTAAATCAGACCACACAGAGAGCATTTTTTCTTTAAGGAAGTTTATCACTGAATCAGCCTTATTCTGCAAAGCCTCTGTGCTTAGAAGCTTTTGTTATTCTTGCATTTTTTTTTCCATTTTATTTTTAAGCTAACTTAAATCCTCCAAACATCCAGAGTGGATTGTGATGTTTATTTCTGCAACAAGAGTCACAGAGGCACTTGAGCAGTTTCCACTCCTTCTAGTATTTTTCTGTTTTCATACCTGCTGTGCCAAGCTCACAGTCTGGCACTGTGCCAGGAGCACCGGGTGGTGATGGGGATGAGGTGGGGGGTATGGTATGTGGCTTGTCCCCCTCCTGAGGACGACTCTTGGAGGTCTCAATGCCTTTAACTCTCCTAGCGTGGCGGTTTCCCTTGTAATGGGCCTCTGCCTGGTTCTGTGGAAACACAAAAAAGAAAGGTTTATGTTTAAAATGGGAGCCAGTGCCGGCAGGTAGACAACAGGTGGGATTAGATTCTCTGTCACATGTGCACATGAAACCATGCCTTTATGCTTTTACATTATTTAATCTACTCTGAAGTCATGGCATAGCCAGCCGGTATCTACTGGAGAACAATAACAAGCAAGACAAGAATAAAAAACATGCAAAAACTTGGAAACTTAGAGACATTTAGGACAAAGACCTACCCAAACTATTATTGGTTTGTTTATGTATTGACAGATTCGTGCTTCAGTTTTTATTTATATACTGTATAGTACTGTTTTGTATGAACAACACATACTTCTGTTTCAAAACTATATTAAAAATACCATCTCCCAAATACAGTCAAATGGGTTGTTTCTTCTTACAAGACGTTACAATATGCACTAATGCCTCCTAACATGAGACCTTAAATTGTTAAATAACATCTCTGCATGGGATGCAGGCACTGTCTTTGCAATCCAAATTTGACATTCTTTTTTGAAAACCACATACGCCAAGTTCTTTGTGCTAAAAAGGAGGAAAACCATCTGATCTGTTATCAGCGCTCAATTCAGAAGCCTGCCTCTCTAAAGGTATGGGGGTGCATTAGTGTCTCTGCCATAAGCAGCTTACCATAATTGTAAAAAAGTATATACAGGTTTTAGAGAAACATATGCACTCATCCAGAAATTTTATTTTTAAGGGAAGGCCATAATTCAGCAAGACAATACTAAACCGCATGCTGCATCCTTTACAACAGCTTGGCTTTAAAGTAAAAGTGTCCTGGTGCTGAACTGGCCTGCTGCAGTCCAGAACTCTTACTTACTGAAAGCATCAATAAACAAAATGTGCAGTCACAAAGACCCTGGACTGTTGAACAACTTTAAATCTTATTTCAGAAAATAATGGGACATTTCCCTCCTAATCTTCCAGCAACCTGTCTCCTCAGTTCCTAGATTTTTACAGACTGTTGTTAAAGAAGAGGCGATGCATAAACGTGGCTCTTTTTTGACTTTATTGAGATGTGTTGTGGCCATCAAATTCACACTTATCTTTTAGTTTTTACTGAAAATTGAATAAACTCTTATTTTGAGCGTTGGATACGTTTTCATGTTTCATTGTGAATAAAATATGTGTTTGTAGCATTTACATTTGTCCTCACTTGTATACTATTTGAGCATTCTGCCCACAAAGTTTTGGTGCAATCGGATTACAGACCCAAGACGAAAATAAGAAACTTATGATGCAGGTTATGTGTGTATAAAAATAATTTTACAGGAAACTAAAGTATTTAAAACTGTTGCAATAACTAGAGTTGAAAATTATATTCCATTTCAAACTGATCACTATGGAAAGAAAAAAGAGAGGAAGTGGAGTGTTTACTAAATAATAAAACTTTAGCACAATACTAAAGACACTGTCAGTAATGAATGATTGCAATCATTTAGAAGGTTTGCATTAAACACTCCAGTTATTTCCACACAACACAAGGTGATCATAAACAAAACCTAATCTCTGATGAGCTTAAAACAAAGTTGAGGGACAAATAAACAATCAGAATCAGAATAAACTTATTGGCATTGCACCGAGATACAACGCGAATATGTACATACAGTCATCCGAAGATGGGCGGAGTGCACGAAGCCGCGGCTATAAATAATTAGCGCGGCCTTCTTATTCTTATTCAGAATAATATTTTGCTTAGATAAGAAAAGGAAAGAAAACATGAGGAGAGACGGTATAAAAAAAAAAAAAGATCTCTCACACCGTGTCCTAGACAGGGCACAATTTGAGGCATCAAAAAAACCTACCACAGCAAAGCAACATAAACAGACGTTATACATTTACATATAGGCGGTGAAAACATTGAATTTTTAAGGGAAAGTCATAGCATAGTCCAGAGCCCCCCCTCAGCCATTGTCCAGATAAGAGGTGACGTTCATCTTCAGCTCAGTTGAGGTTCTGTCACATGTCCACGGCCTTGGGGAAGGGAGGGGTGAGGAAACAGTCAAAGCATCTTTGTTGTTTTCCAAACATTCCAGGAGGAGTTGAGATAAGTCCGGCATCAAGGCCACAGTTTGGGTCAGGCAGAACTCGTAATTGTTATTTCTGCCTTTAAAGTCTCGCTGGTACATATTCTCTGATGGAAACTCCAAAACAGCCAAATTGATCCTTTACTTCAAAGTCGAGCTCACAGCTTTCTCCAAGATTATTCCCACCATTCATGAGTGCTGCCAGGGAGATCACAGTCCTGATACAGCTGCTCCAAATCCCTGTCACAGCTCCACATTCAGTCCGAGCACTGTCAAGCTTCAACACCTCCACACAAATTTGTAGACAACCAGATTCCACCAACCCAAACAGTAGATTCTAGTCGTCATCATGAATCCAATTTTTCCTCTAGATTTCAGTGTCCTCCTTACCCTGACTCATGTCGGGAGAAGTTGATCGATTTTGTTGAGAGACCAGCTGATCCTTCCAATTGAGAGGTATGCAGGAAAAAAAAAGAGGCTTTTTAAGGGTTCACAGGACAAAAGAGCGCAGCAGGGAAGCGGGTGGTGGGCAGAGAGTAGGACTGGTTTCACCGTAGAGTATCAAAAAATAAATAAAAAAAATCAGAAACCTATTTTAAACTTAAATAATGATTAAACTAAGAAGATAAATGCTTTCATCTCCAAAGTGACAACCAGAGAAAAGGATATTGCAGATACTGTATTTCATTCTACAACTGTGACCAGAAAAGGCACAAGGCTCTGCGTTCATGGACCATAAAGAGTGGTACAGTTCCAGCTATATGGAGAGTAACTGCGGGGGGGGGGGGGGGGGGGGGACAAAAGGTTGACACAGACATATTACAATTCTAAGTTTGAAACTGGTCACTGTCTGATTTATAAATTCAAATTGAAAGGAATAACAGGTTTAACAGTGATGGTACTGGTGGATATGTCCAAGATCTTAAAAAACATTGAAGAGTCTGGTGAGATTGCAGAAGAAACCTGGGTAAATGATACCATAACATAAAACATCTTCTCTTTAGGCAGCATCATCTAAGCATCAGTCAGCCTTAACTGAGGACACTCATTTGTAAAAACTGCTCGGACACTCAAGATGTCAAAGAATGCTGAAGATGATGAGCAGGGTGATACATCTTAGCGGTGGCCTAAGCTCTTTGAAGGTGTGTCACAATCAGAGAAATGGGTGAAATAAAAAAAAATCAAAGAAAATGTTGACAGATCTAACTTAGACTGTGAGACCTTCACTCTGGAAATTCACCCAGACAATAGGAGATGTCTGATAGAATAATAAAAGCATTGCTTGAACTACAGCACATACTGACTGAAGGCCCTGTTGAGCCAGAGACTGATGGCTTTGAGGAACCTCTGGCACTTACTCAGATTTGCTTTGTCTAGTTGAAGGGCCAAAGTGACACATCAACACTAATTTAAAGTTCATTGCTGAAACTTCACTGAAGGTTCTTAATGATGTTGTTGAAGCATTGGATGATAAGGATTATTGTGCTGCACTTTTCTTAGACCTGTCTAAAGCTTTTGACCCTGTGGATCATAACATTTTGTGTAATAAGCTCTCAGAAATTGGTTTCTAGGATCACACCATTGGTTGGTTCTCAAACTATCTTTCAGATCGGTGGCAATGTGTTCAACATAATGATACTTCCTCTAGTTATTTAACAGTCAACAATGATGTACCACGAGGCTCAGTCTTAGGACCACCTTCTTTACAATCTACATAGGTAGTATAGGTCAGAACATCCCTAATGCATCCATACATTTCTATGCTGATGACACAGTTGTTTACTGTCTAGCTTAAACAGTTGCTAAGGCTTTCCAGCTTTTGCAATCCGCCTTTGACATCATCCAGACAGATTTGTTCCACCTGAAACTTGTCCTAAATGCCGATAAAACCAAAGGGATGGTCTTTTCAAACTGGAAATTGGTCCCAGCAGTTCTTCCTTTGGTTTTATACTCAAATGGTGTCCCTACTGAGTTTGTTGATTCCTATAAATATTTGGGTATCTTGGTCGACTCACATCTTTCTTTTAAGCTCCATGTGGAAAACTTGGTAAAGAAACTGAAAGTTAAACATGGTTTCTTTTTCAGAAACAGATCCTGTCTATCTCTGAATGCTAGGAAACACCTTGTATCTGTGACTTTCCTTCCCTCCATTGATTACGGGGATATTATTTACATGAACGCTCCTACAAGCACCATGCAGATGTTGGATGTTGTCTATAATGGTGCACTAAGATTCATAACTGGCTGTGATTATCGTACCCACCACTGCACCCTGTATTCACTGGTTAGCTGGACATCATTAACTTCACGCAGACTCTCTCACTGGTACATTTTCATCTTTAAATCACTTCTTGGTCTGCTGCCTTCATACATCTCCTCCTAAATGTCTGTGCGTGAGTGCAGCTACAGCATGCTCTCTCAGGACATTATTACCTGCAGTGTTCCCTCAGTGAGGACTGAACTAGGCCAAAGGACCTTCTCCTACTCTACTCCTGTTTCCTGGAATATCTTGCAAAAAAATCTGAAGCTCTCGACCTTGACCTCTCGAAGTGGCTTTAAAAATCTTTTGGACTCCTGGCAAGATCCAATGCAGACATGTTCCTGTTTTTAGTTTTCCACACTCGCCTTACAATCTAGCTGTTTTTTGCTACTTTTTTCCATCTTATTTTAATTTGTTAAAAAAAAAAAAAAATCTGTATGCCTCTTTTATGATTGTCTATTGTTGTCGTTGTTATCTACTGTTGTCATCACTCTTTGTTGAAATCAGGTCTCTCTTGTAAACGAGTCCTCAAGGCTCACTGGGATTAACCTGTCTAAATAAAGGTTGACTGACTGAATGAATGAAACAAGGCTTCATGGGAAAAAGACATATAGCATTTTATCCAACCACCAAGGAAGGTACAACTCAATGAAACTGAGAAATACTTTTAGAAATATATT